TTTATGATCAGAGGAGTGTTTCATTGATTCTGATTTCCTTCTGCAAGATCTTGTGGGACACGACTCTTGTGAGATTAAGCTGGTATTGGTCTCATAAAGGAGCAGGGTCCTTACATGGAAAAGTTCAAGGGGTATGAATACTTTTGCAAACCACTGTATTAACTGAGCAGGTACTAAGCAAACCAACAAAGTTCCAACACAGTCTGATGATCATACTGCAGATGTGATCATTCTGAACAACACTTAGAGCAACAGACAGAAAGCCCTACACTCTGGTGCCATCGTGTCACTTCATTTATTGTGTTAATCTGTCTCAGTTTGGGTTTATTTCTAACACTCATATTCACCCAATTATCTGTGTGAAAATCCACAACATCAGCTGATGTGCACAGATGTTCACTTCACAGGAAGTACAGACAAGGTTTTGCGACTTTAATCCATTGTAACTGTTTCATTTTTAATGTACTGGCTAAGAATTTATTTATTAGCAGATGAGAATCACCTCTTTTCAGCCCAATAATTTATGAGCATTAAATTGGACATCAGAGCATAAAGGTAATTCGTAACATGATTATTTATATGTTCTTCTGAGCCCTAAACTAACAAGTTTAAGTTTAAGTTTTACTTTGCTATCCTCTGTAAAGAGGGTGTAACTGAATAGTGTTTGGTAAATGGTAAATGGTACTGAACTTATAGAGTGCTTTTCAAGTCCCTCCGGACCCCAAAGCTCTTCACACTAACAGRCATTCACCCATTCACACACTGATGATGGCAAACTACACTGTAGCCACAGCTGCTCTAGGGCACACTGACAGAGGTGAGGCTGCCATACACCGGCTCCACCGGACCCTCTGACCACCATCAGTAGGCAAGGTGGGTGAAGTGTGTTGCCCAAGGACACGACTGAGATGGCTGGACGGGGGATCGAACCAGCCACCTTCCGGTTCCAAGACAGCTCCCCTAACCACTCCACCACAGCCGCCCCAATAAATATTTTGTGTATCTCTGTCAGACAAAATTTACATGAAAAAAAATCAAAACATTACATTTAAGGTCATGGTTCACTTGATAATGCATATTTGTTCTCATAAATACTGATTCAGTTTAAATGACAAACATTTGGTTGATAATCCCTTCTGCAGTATTTGTACCCATTTTATAAGTCAGCTTGTTTTTAGTGTTCATATATAAAACTGGGACTCTGGGTAACAATGCTTGTTTATTAGGGCAGACACATAGCATAAACCTTTGGTATGGAATCACTGCATGCTGCAGTTAATTTTATAAACCCCTGACTCAGCCATTTAAACTGCTGCAGGCGCTTTGCCTTGTGTATTTGCTGCTGTTTAGTTGTTTTATGAGAACAGAAGATAATTAACAGGCTTCAAGGTCACAGACCAGACTGTGACTCACATGAGCATCAGTGGGGTCACAGCAATGACACCAGAAAACATCCAGAGTCCTGCATCATTTAGATTAAAGTATTCTCCAATATTAACCCTCCTTGTTAAGAACAAAACATTTTATTTAACCACATCATTTGGGGTCACAACATGTTCCAACTCCTCCCGTCTGGCAGACGCTACCGAACTCTGTCCACTAAGACTGTCAGACACAAGAACAGTGTCTTCCCCCAGGCCATCACCATCATCAACAGCTGATCATCAGACACCCATCAGCTAGATCATATATTCTATACTACAGAGAACTATCTATCACTCTTTTTCTACATTACTGTGTTACTGCACCTTATTCATAATCATCAACCTCTAAACTGCTGCTGTCGTATTAATACTTAATGTTCTCTTTGAATACTGCTGTCATAAAGTTTTTTTTTGTGAATAACACTGTAAAGTACACCACACTGATAAATATTCTGGTTAAGTGAAATATAATGTGAATCTTTCTGTATATTGTGTAATATGTGTAAATTATATGTAAAGTATCTGTACAGTGTTGATACTAGAGAGACACGAACAGCCGGAAACAAATTCCTTGTGTGTCAACTTGGCCAATAAACCTGATTCTGATCATTTTATTTTATCACCGCACCTGATGTTAGGTTGGCTTCAGACCTCCCTTGCGAAAAGAGATCTGTGATAGGATTTGTCTGGGTAAATAAAGGTTAATAATACAGTCTTTCATGGCATGTAAAAGCATTTTGTATGTGAGTAATGACTTGGTAACACTTTCAGAGAGCCTAAATCTCAAACTGTTCTGCTGCTGCAGGTGCTGAAGGGGTGCAAGACATTGACCATGTCAGTGTGTTCCATGGGTCACCTCCCTGGAGGCGGTATCACCAACCGTGTGTACAGCTGGGTGGATCCTCAGGGTCGGAGTGTGTCACCACCACCTGACAACCAGGAGGCCACTCAGAGGCAAGGGCATGGCATGGAGGAGAGGATGGTGAGTTCAGTTTTTATGTGTGAGTGTGTAAAAAACTCCAAAAAACACTTGTCCACGAAACTGATTGGGCCAAAATCTCACCAATCACTAATGTTGGGGTCTAACATCATTACATTTTTAAAAACTAATTATTTAATTACTTTTTGTTTGTTTATAGCTGAAATCAGACTGTAGATCAAGGTGTCCTGTCCAGAGTGTACTCCTCTCACACTGTGACTGCTGCATCTGGGCACCAGTGGCCCTGAAAGGAAGCAGCAGAAATAGATGATGGATGGATGGATGGATGGATGGATGGATGGATGGATGGATGGATGGATGGATGGATGGATGGATGGATGGATGGATGGATAGATAGATTTCAAGGTTAACTTTGACCAAACGGGTAACATCTGTCAGTTTAGAATACAAGAATGAACCCAGATCCAGACGGAGGATGAAGTTAAAAATAAAAATATTTATTTTACAAAACAAAAGGCTGATGGTGCAGCAAATAAACGATAACATTGGGAGACAATGAGGAAAACCAAAGACAGATGGGCAAGCCATACAATGATCCAGCAAAGCTGTGAACAAATGAGACAGAATATATACTAACTGAGGGAGGGAGGATAATGGGCAACAGTGTGAGGATTTTGTGTTTTGTGTGTTTTCTGCTCTTGTCTTGTGCTTCCATCTAGTGTTCATTTCATGCC